AACTTTACCATATTCATTTATTACTTCTAAAAGTTTTCTGGTGGATTCTTTAGGGTTTTCTATATATAAAATCATGTCATCTGCAAATAGTGACAGGTTCACTTCTTCCTTTCCAATTTGGATCCCTTTTATTTCTTTCTCTTGCCTGATTGCTCTGGCTAGGACTTCCATCATTTGCATTATTTCTGACAAGAAATCTACAGTCATCTTATTCTTTAGTCCTCTGCATGTAATGTATCTTTTTTCTCTGGCTACTTTTAACATTTTCTGTTTATCACTGCTTTCAACAATTTCATTATGATGTACCTTTGTGTGGTTTTCTTTATGATTTTTATGTTTGGTCTTCATTGAGCTTTTTGGATCTGTGAGTGTACAGTTTCCATCAGATTCAGAAAATTTTCAGCCATTATTTTCTTAACTAATTTTTCTGGCCCATCCCTCTCTTCTCTTCCTCAGAGACTCCAATTACACATATATTATGCTGTTTGAAATTGTCCCACAGCTCGCTGGTGCTCTTTTCCATTTTAAAAAGATTCCTCTTGGGGCCGGCCCAGTGGCATAGTGCTTGGATTCGCGTGCTCTGCTTCAGCAGCCCAGGGTTCTCAGGTTTGGATCCCGGGCATGGAGCTGTGCACTCCCTATCAAGCCATATTGTGGCAGGCATCCCACATATAAAATAGAGGAAGATGGGCAGATGTTAGCTCAGGGCCAATCTTCTTCAGCACAAAGAGGACGATTGGCAACAGATGTTAGCTCAAGGCTAATCTTCCTCACCAAAAAAAAAAGATTCCTCTTTATGTATTTCATTTTGGATAGTTGCTATTTCTATGGCTTCAGGTTCACTAATCTTTTCTTCTGCAGTGTCTAATCTGTAATTAAACTCATCCAATATATTTTTCATCTCAGACATTATAGTTTTTAGCTCTGTAAACTTGACTAAAGCCTTTTTGTTTTTTAAGTAACTTTTAATGTCCATGTCTCATAATTCTGACATCTCTAGCAGTTGTGCATCAGTTTTGAATGGTTGGTCTTTTTCCTCAGTTTTGGTTATATTTTCCTGCTTCTTTACATGTCTGGTAGTCTTTAACTGGATGCCAGACATTGTCAATTTTACCTTATTGGTTGCCACATATTTTTGTGTTTCTATAACTTGTGAGCTTTGTTCTGGGACACAGTTAAGTTACTTGGAAACAGTTTGATTTATTTGGGTCTTTCTTTTATGATTAGAGCAGTGCTCAGTCTAGGTCTAATTATTTCCCACTTTTGAGTTTTCTACCCAAATGCCCCATGAATTCTGGGCATTTTTTTAGCCTGGCCAGTAGGAACAGGCACTATTTCTGGTACCAGGCACTGTTCTCTCTAATCCTGTCAGACAGTTCTTTCTCTGGCCTCAGGTAGTTTTCTCACATGTGTGCCAATCAGTATTCTCCTGAATGCCCCAGGGGGATCCTCTGCAGATCTGTGGAGTTTTCTCTGTGTGTAGCTCTCTCTTCTCTGGTAGTCTGTTTTCTGGCCTCTGTTTGCCTTGTTCTCCCTAGAC